TTGTCTTTAAAAGTCTTTGCTTATACTATCATACATAATAAAATCCAATAAGATACAACCTGTTTAGACCAATGCAGACAGAAGAACAAAAGCTTGATGAGACTTCAAAACAAGATGATACTAAATCAGTATTACCTATTAAGACGTCATTTCTCCAAAATAGCTGTTCCTATCATCCAATCATCTCTGCCTCATTTCTGTTGAGCTCTTTTTCTGTCATTAGTTGTCAGTTTGTCTTCTTCATTTTGTTTTCTGCTCCATTCATTGTGGCCTCTCTGCCGCTACTTCTGGATTTTTTGTATTTTTCTTTTTTAGAATATCTTGCAGTGTTCTCTGTAGAGTTGAATTGGTGGTTGCAAATTCCCCCAGTTCCTCTTTATCCTGGAAGCACCTTGTTTTTCCATCAATGTCCAGGGACAGTTGTGCAGGATATCTCAATCTTGGCTGGAGATTATTATCTTTCAAAGCTTCAATTATTTCCCCCCACGCTCTTCGTGATTTGATGGTTTGTACAGAGAAATCTGCTGTAATTCTGATGGGTGTTCCCTTGTAAGTGGTCTGTTTCTTGTCTCTGACAGTTTTTAATATTCTGTTCTTGTATTGAATTTATGGAATTTTTATTATTATATGCCTGGGTGTTGCTCTGTTTGGGTTGTAGGTGGCTGGGGTTCTGTATGCTTCATACAACTGAGTATCTTTACCTTTTGCTAAATTAGGAAAATTCTCCTGGATTATTTCTGTGAGTAGCTTTTGTAGTTCATTTGTTTGTGTCCCTACTTTTTCTTTTATGTTCTTAATTCTTAAGTTATGGATCGTCTTATCATCTTCTAGTCTTTGTATTATTGCTGTTTGTTTCTTTGTTACTTTTAAGAAGTTTTTCATTTCATTCTCCCATATTACAAATCTGCCCTCCAGTTCAGATAGTCTGTCCTTAGTTTCTTTCAAGCTGTTATGCCAGTTTTCGATAGACTTTTTAGTTTCCTGGTAGTCTCTTTGAACCTGCTTCATGTATTCTATGCTTTCTCTTTTTTCTCCATCAAACAATTCTCCCCTCTTTTTCTGTTCTTCCATTCCACCATCCGTTTTTTCTTGGGTGGTGCTTAGCATTTCTCTAACTATTCTGCTTATGTCTAGCTTTAGGCCATTAATAACTTCATTCCTGAATTCATCTATGAAGCTCTCTAGATGGCGCTTTATGTCTATTGGTGCGGTGTCCGCTCTTGCCTGTTTCTCAGGATTGGAGGCCGAAGGGCCTTTCTTATTGCTCCCTCTTCCCATATTCTTTGTTCCTTATATATGCAAGCGTATATAGGAGGCCCAGCTTCCCTCCCTGTCAACTACAGCCTGATCGAATTGCGCCGACTAGTGTTCCCGCCCACCGCAGCACACCAGGAAGTTGCAGACCAGGCAGCCTACGCGGGGCCCGCCCCTCCAGGCCACCCTCAGGCTCTGGGATCTGGGTTGTGCTAGCCTACTGGGTCTCGGCCAGCAGCGTCACGTAGGCTAGGCACTTCTCACCAATCCCGCTTGAGAGGGGGATAGGTGGCTGAAGTCGCTGCAGCGCCCCGCTCCTGCAAGTCTGCCCAGTCCCGGAATGTCCTCTGTTGGAGTCTCCTGGACCGTGGGAGAGTCCCAGTTTTCCCTCACTCACCAGAGGTGGATGCATGGCTCCCCGCCCGTGCTGTTTTTAACTCCCTTTGCTGATTCCTGTTCTCAGAGCTTCCATGCGTCTCTCTCCCTGCCGAGCCAATGTAGACGCAGCCGCCACGTGGTGGGAAATCCAAATCGTGGCTTCCAATGGCGCGGGCTTCAGCTTCCACACTGAGGCTTTTCTGTTCCTGTTATAGCACCAGGATTGCATTCCAAGTTGGTTTCTCTCAGCCCGTTCTTGGGTCAGCAGGCCATGTCTCCACTTGCTTATGATTCCTTACTCCACACCATTCATGAATTTTTAGCTGGGTCTTTCAGAGAGCCTCTGTAGCTGCTGCTATCTGTCCGCCATGTTCTCCCAGAAGCCCCACATTTTTTATTCTTAAGTTATAGATCCTGTTGTCATTTTCTAGCCTTTGTATTGCTATTTCCTGTTTCCTTGTTACTTTTAAGAGACCTTTCCTTTCATGATCACATATTGCAAGCCTGTCTTCAAGTTTTCATAGTCTATCTTTAGTTTATTTCAGGCAGTTTTGCAATCTTTCAAAGTAGTTTTTAATTTCCTGATAGTATCTTTCAATATGTTTCATGTATTCTACACTTTTTTATATTCTTCATCAAAGGTTTCTCTCCTTTTTCTGTGACCCTCCATTCTTCCATCTGTGTCTTCTTGAGACGTGCTTAGCATTTATTTTATTAGACTTCTTATATCTTGCTGTACTTGTATTAGTATTGCTGTTTTCAGGTCTTCTATAATGTCACAAAGATATTTCTTTATGTCAGCTGATGCTGTTTCCAATACTTCATGTCTGCTATCCTTGATCTCTTCTGTAATTACCTCTCCTAGACCCATACTGTTTGAATTGGTAGCTGAAGACAGATTTTTCTTTCTTTCTCTTGTTATGTTTCTGGTTTCTTCCCGACAAGTGCATAGTGTGGGTCCCAGGCCCTTTCTGTATTGGTTATGATTTCTTTGAAGTCAATGGTGAGGTATTTCTGCCCTCTCCCATTTGCTGTTGATCAGTGAGGTACAAGCAGGGGTAGTGCAGGCTGGCCCCTCCCCTCTGAGCCAGTCAACCATGTGAGTCTTCACCATCTTAGTGTGTACTGCACAGATGGAACTGGCTCAGGACTGTTTCAGGGGCAACTTCATCCCTGGCTATTGGGTCCCGTTCCAGGGGCATGACCCAGTTGAAGCAGTTCCCACCAATCTGCTCTGCATCAGCAGAGGCCAAATGAAGCAACTACAGTTCCAGATTCAGGCCCATCCTGCCTGATTCCAGCATGTCACCCAGCTGATCACCACCTCCTGCAGGAGGACCAAATTCCAAGCACTCACCACAGGCTAGTGTAGATCTCCATGCCAGCTCCATTCTCTGTTGTTACACACCTTCCTACTAAGGTCCTCAGGCTCAAAAACCCCCAACTTCAGCAGGACTGTGAGTTGTTGGACTCCAGGGTGCTTAGGGCAATGTGGGAGCACTTCTGTTGAATGAAAGTGCATCTGGATTCAGGCTTCCACCCATGTTTTTCTTTCATTTTTCCTTGGCTTTTTCCTGAGTCATGAGAATCCCTCTCCTTTTTTCTGGTCTTCTCCATGGCATTAAATTCTAGCATCTTAGCTGTTTCTCTCAGAGAGCCTCGCTATCTTGCTACTTATTGATCTGCCATCTTCCCCGCTAGTCTATATTTCTCTTTTGAGCATCCGTTCTTACTTCTGAGGCTTCCTCAGATCCACATGAACTAATATTCATTGCCATTTCATTTTGGTATGGTATTTTCCATTGTTCTTGAAGCTGTTCAGCTATGCAGCCAGTGAATTAGTATTTTCACTGTTGAAAATGGTTATGAGACACAGAAAGCTGTGAAGGGACAGCATGGGAAACTGAGGGCCTCATCAACAGGAGGTAAGGTGCTCTCAAAATTTCCACAGAGGTAGAGCTCATAAACATTGGGTAAGTATTATTTTTATGTGCCACAGCAAGCTCTTTGCTATCCCTGAAAGCCCTAGAAGTTTCTCCGTTTCTGATCTAGACCTAGACACAAACAAGTACCAACAAGTGCAGAGTGCTAGGAGACAGGAAAAGAAAGCATAATGAAAATATACCCTTTTTCTTTAGAAACCACATTATCGGATTTAAAAATTTGAAGATAAGTGGAAGAAAACAGGAGACATAAGAGTTTAAAAGACAATTCACTGTGAAAAATCTCTTTGTCATATGGCTTTCATGGACTTCCCATACTGTAGGAATGGTGGTTTAACAGTGAATTAAAATCTATGGAGTATAACGTTGTAAGAGGACCAATCATACCAAAGGTTATCTGTCATTTCACGCTTTTTCTTTCTTGTTGGGGCATAGCACAGTGAGGTTTTCAGATATATAATGTATCACATGTCTCAGTTCAAATGATTCATGAATCACAGCTCTAATGGATGCTGGCATATGTGCTGCATGTTGCTATTTTGCCACTTGTTTGTTTCTTTGTTGTGATACCTAAGGTTGAACGCCTCAACTTGCACTTGCCAGGCAGATATGTATCTTGCTGAGCTAAATCCCTGCTCACTGTATTTTGCCTCACTAAGATTCAGTTTCTACTAGTGTCAATAGAGTCAACATTCTTATAAAAAAAGCTTCTGTATAATCTGTAAGAAAACTTCCTACTACTCAAGGAATTCAGGCCTAAGATTCATAATCACTGTTTTGAATAACTGTATCTACCAGTCATTAAGGAATGATTGTAGACTACTTTCTTAACAATCAAAATATGAGACACCATACATACATACTTGTAAGAGTCTGCTTTTGAGAAAATCTATCTGCTTGCAATCAAGAACATATCAATACTGAGATGAAATGAAGTGGAAACACAGTGGGCTTGTTCGTAAGGAAAGCTTAGTCTGGGTAAACATCAGACTTACTGGAAGCACTTTTCCTCACTGTGGTGAACTGAGAGATGTGATGGTGGGGGGACCAGTGAACCTCTTGCCACAGCCTCCTGAGTTAACTGGGACTCAGGAAGGTGCCAGAAGGATCAACTCTCCAGCAAGCACCCACAAACTTGAAAACAACTTGGAATTTTATAGTAAGTTTTGTGGATACCTGTGAAGTACCCCGGGTCCAAGCTGGTAACATAGGGTATTGAGACATAAGTAAACAACACATTAAAAGTTGTTTTCTCTTATGCATATCAGCACTCTATTTGCAAGTATGGACAGCAATAATTACATCTGCACTGTTAATGTCAAAGCCTTCCAAACATTTGGAGAAAAAAACTGACATGATTCTGGGCACATCAAACACTTTAAGGTACTGTGATTTTTCCAGAGTCATCTGTATTGCTTCATTTACCTAGTTGGAATGTCGGTATAACTTTCATTCTTACTGCTTTCTTCACAACAGAATCTTTTTCTTCCATGGCAGCCTGAATGGGTTTTAAAGCAAAATGGTTAGTAAACACTCCACGGCTCCAAACTATGCAGTTAATTCAGAACACAAATATACAGTCATTACCTTCCCGTGAAGATGTGTGTCACCTGATTCTGTAAAGGAAAAAGGAAAAATAAACTTTATAAGGAAATATGGGAAAGCCAAAGACACATTCTTGTACTGTGAGGCTTTGGCTGAATCTTCATGCTTTGCTTTGGAAACCCAAATCATGCAACACAGTGAGAACAACTGCCTGACACAAACACAGGTCTGATATTCATCAGTTTTTACCCAGTAAGGTTGACTCACCAGATTCTGGGAATGCTGATGGACTCTTCATCACGGATTCTGCCAGAAGTGGATGTTGATGGCCAAGCATCAATTTCTCAGATCTCTTCAGAGTCTCATTAGACTCGGTGAAACTCCAATCTGAATCAGAACAAAAAGTTTTACTTATTAGGATGTAATGACAATACAAACATAATTAATATATCAACCCTTTCCTCAGAAGTACTCTCATGTATTTCTCTGCCCCACAGTCCAATAATTGTTCCACTGCTTCTGTGCTTGACACTCACTAAGCCAAGTCTGATTGTTACCATCATCTCTCTTTCTTCTGTTTTAACTTAGTAGTATTGTGATTTTCCAACAATCTCTTTAATTTTTTTTTTGTTTTCTTTTTTTGGGTGGGGTATACCATGGATCGAACTCATGACCTTGTGTTTCCCATGCAGGCACTTATACCACTGAACTAAATGCCCTGCTCCACTCTTTAGTTTTTAGTACTCTTGATTGTTAAAACTTTAGGGATATGAATTATATTTCACTGCTTTGAGATGTTAAGTGTGTAAAGAATGAGCAAAGTGTATAAAAGGCATTGTGAAATAGGGAGCAATTCTTCCAGAGAAAGGGGAAGCAAAGAAGAGGCAGGGTGGATGGAAAGAATGGGGACAAAGACTCCACTGGTTAAGTGAAATGAGTCACAAGCACAAATTTCAATACCATATTGTTTGCTAGTGGGAGAAACTGAAAAGTGTAATGGCCCAACTGTGCAAAAGATAGAAAATATTCAAATAGAAATGGTAAAGTGGTGGGAGGGTAAGGAAGTAAAGGATGTAAAGGAAAAAAATAAAGGAGCAAACAGAAGAAAATGGAAACAAAATTTTTAAATAAGGACAGTAAGATAAGGAGTTGAAGGGAGAAGAAGTGACTAGGGGAAAAATAAATAAGACTATCAGGTACAGGGAGAAACTTCCTTTAATGAATGTGATCCTTATGGATATCTAAAATGCACCAATGAAAGCAATTCGAAAAAATACATGAAAATTATCCACTTGAATATAAACACACTATTTTTTCCCCAGTCAAAGGTATGGATGTGAATGAATATTCTACTTTCAAATGGGGAACTACAATGAGATACATTCTTCAATACATCAGTGTTGTGAGAATTCCCTTCTCCGGGTTTTGATAACATCATAAATTCCTAAGAAAAGTGCTAGCTTTCAGTGACCTAAATGTGCTCATGTGCAAACTGGTTTATTCCAGGTGAATCGTGGTGAACCTTTGGCACATGTTGCACAGTGGGCTCTTTGCCATCATTGAAAGGCCTAGAAGTTTGCTGTCTCTGACCTAGGTTCACATTAGTGAATGCAGAGCACCAGGAGACAGCAAAGGAAAGCATAATGAAAATATATCTTTTTTTCTTTATAAATCACATTGGAAGATTTGCAAATTTTAACACAAGTCAAAACAAACAGGAGACATAAGAGTTTAAAAGGCATTTCCCAGTGAAGAAGTTTTTTATCATATGGCTTTCGTGGATTTCCCATGTTTTTGGAATGGTAGTTTAACAGTGCATTAGAATTGTTGGAGGCTTAGGTTCTAAGAAGACCAATCATATGAAAAGTTATGTTCCATTTCATGCTGATTCTCTTTCTTGTTCAGGCATAGCACAGCGGGTATACAGAGATGTAATATGTCATGTGTCACAGTTCAAAAGATTCTGAATCACAGCTCTCATGAATGTCGACATATGTGTGCATGCCACTATTTTAATGCTTTCTTGCTTGTTTCTTTCTTTCTTTTTGTACCTTGGATCAAACTCATCATCTTGTACTTGGCAAGCAGACACTCATGCTGCTGAATTTAATCCCAGGTCCCTCTATTTTACCTCTTTCAGATTCAGTTTCTTCTACAGTGTCAATAGATTTCAACATGCTTAAAAATAAAAGGTCCTGTAGAATCTGTAAGAACCTTAACTACTATACAAGGAATCAGACCTAAGTTTCACAATCACTGGTCTGTAAAATTCTATCTAGCAGGCACCAAGGAATGATTATAGACCCCATTCTTACTAATCAAACTGTTACACACCATACATACACATTCATACAGTCTGCTTTTGTGAACATCTGTCTGCTTGCAAACATGAATATTCTAATAATTAGATGAAATAGAATGGAAATGCATTTGGCTTGTTATTAAGGAAAGCTTTAGTCAAGGTACAAATCAGAATTACTGGAGGCATTTTTGCTGGTGGTGTTGAACTGAGAGATAAGGTCCTGGGTACCAGTGAACCTCTTACCACAACTTCCTGAATTAATAGGGACTCAGGGATGTGCCAGAGGACCCAGCACTCCACCAAGAATCCACAAACTTTCAAACCATCTTCAAATATTATAGTTAGATCTGTGGATCCCTGTGAAATATAAGAATCCAAATTGGGAGAGTTTAAGATCATTGCTCCCAGTGGTTAAGTGCCCGCCCAGCTTCCAGCCACACTATACTGATCTCTGCAGCTTTCATGGACTCAAATGGACTATACGCTGTGACCTTCTTCAATCAGTGGAGATGAATGCATTGGAGGTTAGTTCTAGCACATTGGTGCTAGCCTAGGGAGACCTTTGGACCATCCCTAACCCTGGTTAGGAGCTCACCCAGCTTTCTGAAACACTGGAGATGGCATGAAAGTTCCTGTGGGTATGACTGGACCATGATCTCCAACCTCCATTCAGTCCCAGGAGCCAAGGGCACAGGAGACAATTACCAACACACCCAGGGGAAGCTTTGGAACATCTTTTGAAACACAGAATTCTAGGAAAATGACAAGATAGAAGACCAAAATGCAATATCAAACCTCCAGCCCATCCCAAGATAGCCTGGAAACCATATACATAGAAGAAAATATATGCCATATACCTGAAATATCTGAAATAATATGAAATGAATTAAAGAAGCAACTCTGAGAAGTTTTAAAGGAATTCAAATTAGAAATAATCTCTCAAGTAAAAGAAGAAATGATAAAGGTAATAAAAGAAATGCTGAACATATCTAAAGAAGACACAGTTAAATAATTAGAGGAATAATGTAAAAACATAGAATTCATGGATGAACAATTTAAGAAACAGAATGCATGAAGCAGATTCAAAGAGATATACAGGAAAACAAAAATTTCATTGAAAGTTGTCAAAACTGTCACAAGGAGTGAAGATAGAACTTCAGACCTCGAAGACAAGATTTCAGCTAGTGAACAGGAAAGATATTTTAAAAATAACAAGGAATCAGGAGATAACAATTCAAGCAATGCAACATGATGCAAATAAAAACAAGAGATTGATAGGGATAAATGAAAAAGAAGGGGACAACACAAATGATATGAAGAGGCTATTTACACAAGTAGTAGCTGAAAATTTCCCAAACATGAAAATGGAAACTGACATATGGATTAGTGAAACATATAGAACTCCAAATAGCCATAACCACCCAGACATATAATAATCACCACCCAGAAATCAAACATAAGAATAGAATATTAAAAGCTGTTAAAGAGAAAAGACAGACCACCTATAAAGGAAAACATATAAGAATCACAGAAGGCTTCTCAACACAAACAATGAAGTCAAGAAGAGCATGGAGCGAAGTATTTCAGATCCTAAAAGAAAATGACTTCTAACCCAGACTGATATACCCTGAAAAGCTGTCCTTCAAAATGGATGGAGAAATAAGATACTTCCGTGACAAAGAACAGCTGACGAACTTCATAAATACCAAACCAATCTGGAAAAGAATACTGAAACACATTCTAGATACACATAGGAAAAGACTACTAAGCAATATTTACCTCGATATGATAAAGGACATCTATGACATACCAATTAAACAGAATAGAAAGGTAAAGATACAACAGCAGAAAGAAAACATGTCAACAATAAAGCAGTGTAGAACAGCTATAACCATTAATGTAAATGGAATCAATTCATCCATTGAAAGAAACAGACTGGCAGAATGGATTAAGAAACAACATCAAATCAAACTCTGTCCACAAGAAACCCATCTAACCCAAAAGGAAACTCATAGACTGAAAGTCAAAGGATGGAAAACAATACTTCATGCAACAGGAATTTAAAAAATTAGGGGTAACTATTCTATTTGCAGACAATGTGAACTTGAAACCAAGAATAATCCAAAGAGATAAAGAAGGTCACTACATAGTAGTTTGGGGAAAACTTCAAGAGGAAGAGATAACAATCTTAAATATACATGCACCAAATTCCAGAACACCCAGCTATACAAAGCAAATATTAGCAGAAATGAAAAATTAAATAAGTAATAACACAATTATGACAGGAGACCTTAACACACCCTTGGCACTAAGGGAGAGATCAACCAGACAGAAAATCAGCAAACAAATAACAGAACTGAATCATAGCTGTGAACAAATGGATTTGATAAACGTATACAGTGTTCCATTCAACAACATCAGAATACATATTCTTATCAGCCGTACATGGGACATTCTTTAAAAGAGACCATATACTAGCCCATGGAACATATCTAAGTAAATGCAAAGGAGTTGAAATTATCCCATGCATTTTATCAAATCATAGGACAATGAAACTAGAAATTAATGATAAAAGAAATGGCAAGAATCCCCCAAACACATGGAAATTGAATAATACACTCTTGAGCATTCAGTGAGTCACAAAGGAAATTAAAAGAGAAATTAAACAATACCTACAAGCAAATGAAAATATAAATACAACTTACCAGAATCTGTGTGATGCAATGAAAGCAGCCCTCAGAGAAAAATTACACTGAGCTCCCACATCGGGACTATAGAACAAAAACAAGCAACTTGATGCTACACCTCAAACATCTAGAAAAAGAAGAGCAAGTCAAGCTCAAAGCCATAAGAATGGAGTAAATCATAAAAATCAGAGCAGAAATTAATGCAATAGAGACTAAGAAAACAATATAAAGAATCAATGAATCAAAGAGTTGGTTCTTTGAAGGAATAAATAAAATTGATAATCCACTAACCAACCTTTTTTTAAAAAAGGAAAGAAAAAACTCAAATTCATGCAATAAGGAATGAAAAAGGCGAAGTCACTGCAGACTGCAGAAACACAAAAGATCATTAACACCTATTTCAAAAACCTCTACTTTCATAGGTTCGATGACACAGAAGATATAGACAGATTCCTAGAAACATATAAACTACCAAAGCTGGGTCAAGAAGATGTCAAACTGCTGAATAACCCAAATTCAATTAATGAAATTGAAAACATAATTAAGTCCTTACCTACAAAGAAGAGCCCAGGCCCACGTGGATTCACTGTGGAATCCTACAAGAAATACAATGAAGACTTAATGCCAACACTCCTCAAACTCCTCAATGAAATCAAAAGGAAAGCAATTCTTCCCAAGTCATTCCTGGAAGCAACTGTTACCCTACTACCAAAATCTGAGAAGGACCCAACTAAAAAAGATCTTCCTAAAGAACATAGATGCAAAAATCCTTATTAAGATATTGGCAAACAGGATACAGCAAATCATCAAGAAGATTACACACCATGACCAAGTGGGATGCATCCCATCCATGCAGGGATGGTTCAACAAACATAAATCAATAAATGTAATCCTACATATCAATAGAGCCAAAAGTAACAATCACATGATCATTTCTATAGATGCAGAAAAGCTTTTGATAAGATCCAACACTTATCCATGATAAGAATCTTACAGAAAATTGGAATAGATGGTCTTTACATCAGTATGATAAAAGACATCAATGACATACCAAGAGCCAGAATCATATTAAATGGCAAAGAACTGAAGGCCTTTACCTTAAAATCAGGCACAAGACAAGGATGTCCCTCATCACCGCTCCTATTTAACATAGTACTGGAAATACTAGCCAGAGCAATTAGACAAGAGAGAGAAATAAAAGGAGTAAACATAGGAAAAGAGGAAGTTAAATTATCATTATTTGCAGATGACATGATACTCTACACAGAAGACCCCCAAAACTCCATTGAAAGACTTCTAGATATAATAAATAAGTTCAGCAGTGCAGCTGGATACAAAGTCAATACTCAAAAATCAATTGCATTCCTATACACTAACAACAAAATCACAGACAGAGAAATAAGAGAAGCCACACCCTTCACACTGGCATCCAAAAATATGAAATATTTAGGAATTAATCTCACAATACAAGTAAAAGAATTACAGGGAAAATTATAATACCCTGAAAGAAGAAATTGAAGACATCAGAAAATGGGAAGACATCCATTGTTCATGGATAAGAATAAATATTGTGAAAATGATCATTCGCCCAAAAGTGTTATATACAGATGCAATGCAATCCCAATGAAAATACCATTAACAAACCTTACAGATCTAGAGAAATAATGCCTAAAATTCACCTGGAACCAAAAGAGACCTAGAGTAACCAAAGCAGTTTGAAGTAGCAAAGGCAAGACAGGAGGCATCACTATCCCTGACTTGAAGTTATACTACAGAGTTTCTGTAATAAAATCAGCATGGTACTGGAATAAATATGGATCTGAAGATCAATGGAATAGATTATTAGAAGACACAATCATAACTGCAAACACACTCAACCACCTTATCTTTGATAAAGACATGTTCACTGGAAGAATGACAGTCTCTTTAATAAATGGTGCTGGAAAAATGGCTCCTCATATGCCGAAAACTACACCTAGACTCATGCCTATCACCATGTACTAAACTAAAATCTAAATGGATCAAAGATCTGAATATTAAAACAGAAACACTAAATCTGCTGGAAGACAAAAATCTTGAATCTTAGATAAAAATCTTGAAAACATAAGGGTAGGTAGGGAATTCATGAACAGGAATCAAACCACACAAGAAATACTTCCCAGAATCAATAACTGGGATGATGTCCTATTAAAAAGTTTGTGCATGTCAAAAGAAGTCTCCAGCAGAGTGAAAATAAAACCCACAAACTGGGGAAAAAAAATTCTCACTAAACTGTCCCTCAGACAAAGGACTTTTAAAACATATAAAGAATTTTTTTAAAAAAATGAGACCCCTGAAATTCAAAGACCCAATCCAAAAATGGGCATCTGAGATGAATACACGTTCTCAAATGAAGAAATGCAAATGGCAAATAAATACATGAAAAAATATTCATCATCATCAGTCTTTAGAGAAATTCAAATTAAAACAACACTGAGATTCCATCTTACTCCAGAAAGAATGACCAGGATCAAGAAAACTACCAACAACAAATGCTGGAGAGAGTGTGGGGAAAAAGGAACTCTCCTGCACTGCTGGTGGGAGTGTAGACTGGTGCCACCACTGGGGAGATCAGTCTCGACATTCCTCAAAAAGCTGAGATTGGAAGTCCCATTTGACCCAGCTATTTCACTTCTGGGCATATTCCCAGAAGAACTGAAAACACCATTCCACAGTGATATATGTGCACCCATGTTCATAATAGCACAATTTGTAATAGCCATATCTTGGAAACAGTCTAAGTGTCCATCAACTGAGGAATGGATAAAAAAGATGTGGTATTTCTATACAATGGAGTACTACTCAGCTATAAAGAAGGATCACATTGAGATATCTATAAATAAATGGATGCAACTTGAGACCATACTCATAAGCAAAATAAAAACTCATATTTAAATACCATATAGTCTCCCTAATGTAAGACATGGTAAGAGTACAAAAGGATTTATGGTAGTCTTGATTCCCCATTACATTGCTTTGAAGCCTTATAATGTTTTCATTAATTAGTTGGAATGGTTTTATTCTGTTTTGTTTGATTTGATTGTGTGTGATGGTATGAACAGCTATTTTGAAGAAAACAAGACATTATGGCAGCCATTGCACTGATGTAATATCATCTTGTTTTGAAGCCCTACTATGCTTTTGTTCTTATGTTTCCATTGGTTCTATCATGTTGCGTCTTATTGGATTTTAATATATGTGATAGTATAAACAAATTTGCTATAGAAAAAGAGTTAATATCATAGCCATTATTAATTTTCTGTTCTTTGGTTCTGAATGCCCTATAATACTTTTATTCTCCTGAATAGTTTTACACTATTTTGTTATGTTTGATACTATTATATGTGAAGGTATACTCAACTATTTCAAATTTTGGTTGCTACTGTTACTATCCAGTTGTCTTGTAGTGAAGTGCTGTATTGCTTACATTGTTCTGCTCTGACCTGCTTTGTTCTGTCTTCTTTTGTCTTAATCTCTTTAAAATAAAACTTAAAATTGTCAATAAAAAAGGATGCAAACTGGGAACATTGGGTATTGAAACATAAGTAAACAACACATTAAAAGTTGTTTTCTCTTGTGCTTTTTAGCACCTATTTGCAAACACAGACACCAGTACTTACATCTTCAGTGTTTATGTCAAAGCTTTCCAAAATTGGAGAAAAAATGGAGATGATTGTGGGTACATCAAACACAGTAAGCTACTGTATTTCTTTCCAGAGTCATGTGTATTGCTAGATTTACCTGGTTGAAATGTCTTTACATCCTTTATTCCTACTGCTTTCTTCGCAACACAATCTTTTGCTTCCATGGCAGGCTGAATGGGTTTTAAAGTCAAATGCTTAATGAACACTCCACAGCTCCAAAATGTGAAGTTGATTCAGAACACAAATATACAGTCATTACCTTCAAGTGAAGATGTGTGTCAGGTAAATCTAAAAAGGAAAATGAAAAATAATCTATATAAGAAAATATGAGAAAGCCAAACATACATTCTCACAGAGTTAGGATACATGCTTTACTTTGGAAATGAGTTCTTCAGATTTTTGACTTTGCTTTCCCATTGGTCAGATCAATATGAGAGAAAAATTAGAATACAGGTTGAACATGATTTCCAATGTGACATTATTCTTCCAAATGCCATAACTAAACAGGAAGTGAGTATATACCAATCTATACATGTCGGGTGTTGTGAAAAAGTGATTTTGGGATCCATCATGACCCTGAGAGGCTGACTGTCAAAGCTGAAAGAAGAGAACAGCATATAAATTGAACAAACCACATCATCCATTGGTACAGCATTGCACTACACGTAGGTGCTCTCGAGACACCCAGCACAGCAGAGCTCACAAACGGTGTGTCAATGCTATTTATGTTTTAAAAGATGAGGTTTTGTTATGCTGCCCTTAAATTCCTGCAAATGAGTGATCCCTCTCCCTCAAATTTTCAAATAGCTCGAACTGAAAGCATACGCACCATGCCTAGTGAGATTTTTATACACTACTCATCAATATCATTACTCCTTACACAAGCAGGTTTTGTGAAAGTTGGGGACATGGCTGAGGAGAAGCTACGTGGGAATTTCTCAGTGATTTCCACTGATACCGCATTGAAGGAATGAACCAAAGAGTGTCTCTATGTTACTTTTTAAAGGATTTGTGTGAAAAAGCTATTTTATCACAACTTACTTATCTTAAAATGAGTCAATGCTTCTATGTGTACATTAATGTCACTTGAATAATTATCAATTTAACAGAAATCTCTGATGCCTGATAGTTTAGGAGGGGAGGGAAGTACCTACAGTGTAAGGCAAGTCTAGCCCTTGTCCCTGCTTCTAATCATCTCTGCAGCAGCAAGAATCGACTTTGCCATTTGTGAGCACAAACACTGAAGCTGTGAGGAATAAGTGCTCTCATGTTTCATCATTTGTTCCAAAATTATGTTTAGCTTTGTTATTTCCTATTTTCTTCCCCCAATAAATCCCTGTTCCTCTCCCAACTGACCTCTAGTTCGATGGTCTTGATTGTTTCCATTTACTGCTTTTTATGGATTATTCCTACCATTCCTTTCTTTATTTGGCAGAAATGGCAGTAGTATCTTAGAATTACAATTTGTTTTTCATCTCTTTACTCTTTCCCCTTTGGCTAGAAATATTTTCAGAAATAAAAACAAGATTTATGGGATGAGGCTGAGGAGGCATATGATTCCCATTCAGTCTCTGTTCCCAGGAGGGAGCTCTCTAGGGGCACGACCTACCGCAGCAGTCCTGCCCTGGGGGAGTGCTGAGCTGTGGTGGAGCTTAGGACGGGGAGAACAGGTCAGACACTGGGAGCCTCATGCATCTGCTCTGTTACCTTCACTGATACCACTTCATAAGAGTCCAGAAGGGTGGCTTTTCAATTGTTCCACCTCATTGCCTCTTAAATTTGCCTTTGGGGACTTGCAGATCCAGAGTTACATTTGGCTTCTATGTCTTCGCACTTTCTATTTTTATTTCAGTGAAATTGCTGCACTGATCCTTATAAATTGTTTATGGTAGTTATCTTTATTGCTGCTATCAATAGCAATGACTTGGGAAATTACTACTCCTCAGAGACATCTTCAAGTTGTAGCTGACTTTTGAGTGTTGATTCTGTTATAAGATTGTCCTTGTTCAGCAGTCACGGGAAAGATGGTGGATCAGTAAGTAACAAGGTACAGAGCCTCTCTGGGAGAAACAGCTCAGACACTTAGAATTTACCACCATGCAGAAGACTGGGTGAAAGGAAATGGACTCTCAATGACTCAGGAAGAAACTGAGGAAAAAGATTTTTAAAAAAAGAAAAGAAAAATGTGGACAGAAGGCTGGAGCCAGAAGCACGCTCACCAGAGCCAGTCCAACTCACGGGTGTGGCACTCTCACCTGAGCCAGTTGGACTCGCGTGGCAGTGCTCTCACTGGAGCCACAGTTGTGCTGAAGTCAGGGTTTGGTAAGCCCAATGGAGGACAGAGCCAGTGTGGAGACCTGCACTAACCTGCAGTGAGTGCTCAGAATCTGGCCCTCCTGGGAGAGATTAGGTGACCAACCAGATGACATATTGATATTGGGCAGGATGGGCCAGAACAAGGAATGGCAGTGACTTCAGTTGGCTGCTCCCTGCCAAGAGCACATGGGTGGGATCTGACAGGGCTGGGTCATGCCTTTGGCCAGCACCCAATAGCCAGAGTTGAAATTGTCCCTGACATTTTCCTAAACCAGTTCCATCCTCGCTGCACAAACTAATGTGGTGAAGGCCTCCACTGGTTGACTGGCTCAGAGGGTAGGGGCCATCCTACACCACCCCTGCTTGCACCTCAATGACCAACAACAAAATGGAGAAGGCTGCAATCCCTAGCCAGCACACTTCAGAAGAACCATAACCAATAGGAAAGGGGCTGGGACCTTCACGATACACCTGTATTGAGGAAGCAAGATACATAACAAGAGAAAGAAGTAAGAAAAAGCCTCCAGTCAAACCAGGGAATATGGGGGCCAGGAGAGGTATATACCGAACAGATTGAGGGCAGCAAACATGAGATATTTGACATGGTATCAGCTGACATAAAGAAATATCTTCGTGACATTATAGATGAACTGAAAACTGAAATATTAATACAACTACAGTAAGATGTAAGATTAATAAAAGAAATGCTAAGCCCCTCCCAAGAAGACATAGATGGAAAAATGGAGGAACATGAAAAAGGAGAGAAACCTTCATAGAAGACCATAAAATAAAACTAGAATACATGCAACAGAGTCAAAGAGATTACCGGGAAATTTAAAACTACATTGAAAGATAGCAAAATTGCCTGAAGGAAACTAGGGATACATTAACAACACTTGATAGGTTTGCAATGTGTGATTGTGAAAGGAAAGATCTCTTAAAAATAACAAAGAAATAGGCAGTAACAATACAAAGGCTAGAAGACAACAAGAGGATGATCCATAGTTTAAGAATAAAAATGAGTGAAGAAGCAGGGGTAAACACAAAGCAGATACAAAGGCTATTCACAGAAATAATTAAGAAAAACTTCCCAGGCATAGGAAAAGGAGATGATATTCAGCTATTTGAGGCATACAGAACTCCAGCCACCTAAAACAAAACTGAGCTACCACCCAGACATATAATAATCAAGATCCCAGAAATTCATCCCAAGAACAGAATATTGAAAGCTGTCAGAGAAAAGAAATAGATCACCTCTAAAGGAAAACCCATCAAACTCATGACAGACTTCTTGACACAAACCATCAAATCAAGAAGAACTTGAAGTGAATTATTCCAAGCCTTGAAAGAAAATAACCTCCAATCCAGATTGACATACCCTGAAAAACTGTCTCTCAAAATTAATGGAGAAACAAGATGCTTCCATGACAAAGAGGAACTGGGGGAGTTCGTGACCACCAACCCAACCCTACAAAAAATACTGAAGGACATTCTAGAGAGGGAGAAAAAAACCCCAGGATTTCAGGAACAGTGGCAGAGAGGCCTCAATGAATGGGGCAGACAATGGAATGAAGGAGAAAAGTAGACAACCAATAGCAGAAAAATAGCATAGCAGAAATGAGGCAGAGAAGGTTGGCTATAATCTCTAACATAGATGGCCTTGATACACTAACAAAAAGAAACACAGGCAGAGTAGATCAGGAGATAGGGCCCATCGAAAATTTCCTCTGTATGGGAAATATAATTAACGTGAAAGAGGGTTTATGGACCAAAAGTCAAATATGAAAAAACAATGCTCTATGTGACAGGGAACCAGAGAGAAATAGGGGCAGCTCGTCCAGCACCTGAAGATAGCTTGGAAAGACATGACACTTGTGCAGTGGAGAAGAAGCTATAATGAAGCAAAAGTCTTGAGGCTTTTGTACGTGCAGGAAACCAACTTAAGATCAGGCCCAGGGGTAAAAAGTTTCAGAACCACTTGGGTAAATAACAGGTTGCATCCCTAACCTACAAACTAAAGGGAGTTAGTGGGAACCAAAATGTACAATGTAACCCATGAAAGTGAAAGTAAAAGGGAAGGAATTGTCTAAAAAGGAAGGCAGAGGACATTGTTAATAGTGTACCACGATTTAAAATCCACATTGTTCTTATCATTTTGTTTAGTTTGGTTATATTTTATTCCAGCCTGTCTACCTGTAGTAGACTTAATGGCCAGACAGCTACTCCAAAAATAGCAGGATATACCACAGTAACCATCCTTAATTTCCTATTAAATTAATCTGAAGCCCTGTATTACTTATACTGTCTTATTATGACTGATCTTATTTGAATCTGGTTTGTCAGATCACTGTCTCGTCTTGACTGATCTTATTCAAATCTGTTATGATTTGATAGTATCAAGTCTGAGAGTATAGACAACTACACTGAAGATGACAGGATTTACTAGGATACCCACTCTGGTTTGATTATTACCTGCTTTTGAAGTCTTATAATGTCTCCAATGTTTTGTTTTTATTAATATTGTTATATACTGCTATGTTCAATTATACTATGCCTGATGATATAGACAATTCTATTGAAGATAACAAGAGACATCATAGTAACCATTGTAGGTCACCTTGTGTCATGGTTTTATATGACTTTTTCATTTTGTGTTTTTCTAGGAGTTTTTGTTTTGTCTTGTTTTGTTTTTCCCTCCAATACAGAAAGGATAGCTATCCATAGAGAGACTCGTGCATGTGTAGAACTTCTAAACAGTTTATGAGAACTGATTATATAATGCACAATAAAATGAACAACTACTTTGAAGAAAAAGAGACACTAAGGGACCCAGTTCTGATTCTGTAGCATCATGATGTGAAATCCAGCAAATTATTATTCTTTATTCCAAGGGATTTTAGTCTGTTTTGTTTAATTTCAAAATGCATGAAGGAATGGACAGTGATTTTGAAGAGAATGAGGAACACTATGACAGCCATTGTCGATTTCCTTATTGTCTGGTCTTGAAGACGTAAAATGCCTTCACCATCCTGTTTGGATCAGTTTTATACTATGTTGTTTTGTATAAATTCACTGTATGTGAAGATATGGACAAGTATTTGGAAGAAAACAAGAGAAAGTATAACAGGTAGTGAAGATCTACTGATGTCTTGCTTTGAAATGTGTCTCTTACACTGCTTTCTTATGTTTTGTTTTGTTATCTTTTTTTATGCTTAATTTTACTCTGTTTAAAATAAAATTAAGAAAAAAAGATTTATGCTCCCCCTTGACCCTGTTATGTCTTGATCTAGTTCTCAACTTATGGTTCTTCTCCAGATTTCTCTACAGGAAACTTGATATTGGGCCACCTCCAGTGGTCTGAGGATGAGCGGTGTCAGCCTTTCCAGAGAACTTACTACCAATACACTTCCTCAGTCCTTGTGAATCAAATATGTGGTGTAACATGTTCCCCAACAGGGGCTTCATTTCTTCACAAAAGATCTGGCACACACATTCTCTTCCAAATCCTCTTCCCTTCCCTGAGTCTCTTTCAAATCCTCTTCCCTTCCCTTTTTTCCCGTTTTGGAAAGTGGTGCTGACTTCCTCCTCATCATGTCACCCAAATTGAAAATGCACGAATGTCAACCACTTTCTTATGGACTTTTTACTGAGACTATGACTTTGCTGATCTCAAAAAGCATTCCTTTCTTTCTATTTTTTTACTGTCTCATTCTGGATACACTACATGATGAAACAGCAACTCTTTTTAAGTGGTAAAACTGTAAATGGAATTCTGCAACCAGCATTGTGGGAGAAGTAAGTGCATGAACCAAGGTACCAGTGAAACTATGCATATAGCTGACCTTGCTTGTTTATTCTGATCTGTAGTGAATAAAGAAGAGCTCTGCATAATCTAGTACTTCAGTCCTTGATGCCTTTCCAGTGGTAAGAAGACAGGGAAAGTGAAAAACTTCTGCTCTACTTCTCTATCAAGTTTTGCTACTCAATGCTCAATTGATACAATTTCTACACTTCTGCTACCTTGATCTTCCTTCTCTTAAGAATTACTTCATTTCAGGGGCTGGGGATTTAGCTCAGTGGCATAAGTGCCTGCCTTGCAAGCAGGCAGTCGTGAGTTCGATCCCTGGTACCAATAAAAAAGGAAAAAGACCAAAAAAAAAAAAAAAGAATTACTTCATTTTTCCACACTCCATACTTTGTTTTCTTTGTTTACTCCCTGTATTATTGCTTTCGCATTCTTCACTCCTTTCTTTCCTATTAATTTTCTAACTTCCCTCAGACATTAGAATGCCTTGAAATGGTGCTAACAAGGTAGCTCCCTCAGTGACCCTCAAATTAACCTATTACTTAAACTTCAAAGTATATAAAACTTACTACTGATTTACTTCTTTTTTCTTACTATCCAACTCATGGGTAGTTTTTTGACTATTATAATCCAGCAATGCTCTACTTTTAGCTAAATAACTATCAAATAACTTCTCTAAATAAATTACACATATTTCCTACCTTTTGTTTGTGTATTTCCTGCATGTTTTCCTCCATCATCTGCATCCCCAGGAAAAGGATCGACAGGCTGCTGTGGAAGATTCTCAGAGATACTCTGTGAAAATTCATATAGCAGTAATGAGTTACAGAAGCATTTCTTACTCATTTCCAAAGAAACTATCTGATTTTTACCATCTTAAGGCAAGCAGGTTTAATAATGGGAAGCATATACTGAGAACCAAAATGTCTCCCATGTGAACCTTATGACAAGCCCAGCTGCTGTCTCCATATGGGTGCTGACTTTGTAAAGCAGGCATGGAATGCTACAGGAAGGATTCAGAGACAAAATTCTGTCTGACAAACCTATTTCATCCTAGCTTCACAAGAGTCAACAGTACGCTGCACTCTCCAATGAATGTAACATTGAAACATACAGATTTACATGAAGCCATTTTTATGAGTGCATGTTTGTGATATGTAACAATTACACTTGTTTTGGGGAACTGCTACATGAGTTATCATTTCTTGATTACCTTGGTTCCCTTTACACCCTAATATCACTTTCCCTTCCCTGAATAAACAAATTCTTATAAATATACTTGTTATTATTCAGCATTAAGCATTCTATTCACAGAAGTCATGTCACTGTTAAGATACTCGGCCAGTAAGAAACTTCAGAGAGCCATGCTGAGTAAAAACATCATTGCAGGCACTACTTCACTTATGTAAACAAGGATTTGAAAGAAAAGCAATTCTGAGATAATATTTTTACTGATAGAAAAATGTTTGAAAATAAAAATATACTGATAACTTCATGTTATATTCAAGAAATAGCACATGAATATGAGATGTTATATACAACTCTTTCCCAATTAAGAAAAACTTTGAAAAAGTATGAAAAAAGACTGCAACATAAAAACTTTTTTTACAAAGTGCCCCCAATTTACAACATACCGACTTACACATTTTCTTTTCTATCTGTTGCAAAACCGTAAATAACTGTGAGGAAGTAACTGCACTTCCTGCTTCCTGGTCACTGTAGGGTGCTGCAGTGATGGACAGACAGGGCTCATGGTCCTGCCCACAGTGTCCTCCTGGACTTTACTGTGCTGGCTCCTGTTCACTCTTATATTAGCAGCAGTTCACTCTCATTCCCATCTGTACTGAAACCCCCCTCGAAAATTCTTTAACATTTGCAGGGCTAGTGGTGCACACCTGTAATTCCAAACTTTTGGAAGGGTAAGGCATGACAAGCACCAGTTCAAGCCCAGTCTTGGGAATGTGGTTACATAGAAAGACCCTGTCTCAAGTCTAATATGGCTGGTGGTGTAGTGCCATGGGAAGGCCACAGGATGGATTCAAATTAATGAAATAAAAAGTGCTTCTTGTTCATTTGACTGCTCTATCATGATAACATAAGTCTTCACCTAAGATATTCAGTATCTCACTACTTGGTACACAGTGGTACTCTAAAACAGAGATTTATTCAAGTTCACATTTAAAATCTCATCAGGGAAGCCTCAAGCACCAAGCCACTCTCTTCCTATATGCTGTCTCCATCAACAGTTTTACTAAGAGTTTTACCATTTACAAATCAGCAATCTACATGCCTCTCTCATCTTTCTTACTCTTTTCTTCACATTATTATTTTGCTGATCTCATGTTTAGGAAAAAATCTTCAATATTTATTCAGGTAAAACCTTTTATACTTTCAAAGTATTTTTATAATTTTTATCACAAATTTCCTATGACATATAGAAAGCATCACATAAGTAGTAGATCATGTGCCATCTTCATGGTATAATAAGGTCACCAAAAGCCAAATTCATTAAATTATGTTTCCAAGATTTAGCAGTTACTAACAGACAGAATACTAACACATCTTGTGACTTCAACCACCATCCTGGTACCACAATGCAGGAGCTGCATGGAACAAAGACATTAGCCCTTTCCCAAAATGCTCACTCTAGGGCCAGGGATTTAGCTCAGTGGCTGAAGTGCCTCTCTGGCAAGCACAAGGTTGTGAGTTTGAACCCCAGTAACCGAAAAACAAAACAGAACAAACAAAAAATCAAAATGTTCACTCTAACACAATTTGTCATTATTTACATTTTTATCAGTACAAGCATGGCTGCCATAAAGAGACTCACTGCATTCCACATTCAAAATTGGTTTCTGTTTTTTCAAATAATATAACACCAAACTGTGAGTATAACACCATGTATTGACATCTTGAGTCCTTGATTCTATTGAATTACTACGTTCAGATCGACACCAGGAAACCCAAACATATTAACTATTGCAATTATCATTTATTACTCTGTCAAGTAAAAAACTGTAAAAATTATGATCCAAACATTTTGTCTGAATCTCAGCAGAATTTTCACCCATTGGCCATAGACTGACTGGGAAGAATTCCTCAGTTTTTGCTCAGCTTAGTTTCAGAATCCAAGCTGATTGCTTATGACATGTTGCTCCTAGTTTTTAACTGCACTGGCTTCCTTAAATGAATCTTACACAGGTAGCAAAGGTGTGCTCAGACTCCATTCATTTATTCCTTCACCTGCAGTACAAAGGATTCAGCACAGGGCAATTGCATTCATCTATGAACCCAGTGGCATTAACTCTTTGAGACATAATCATACTAAACAGCTAAGCCACACAGGAAATTAGGAACTGTGGTTAAAAACTGTAAGGAAAAATTTCTTACAGGTATATGAACAGGTGAGAAAGTATAGTCAAATTTTCCCATTATATTTCAACCTCAACCAATATTTATTTCAAAAATAATTACAGGCAATACCTCAGAATCCCAAGGAGATTCATCATCTGTCTGTGCTTCCAGTGGCAACACAGTATCTATAAAATGTAGTCACAGACACATTAGTTATATTCACTACAATAAATTTTACTCATGTATGCAAATCCATCTGCATTCATGAATATTTCACTAAGATACAAGTCAATGTGAAAAGAATTTCAGAAACAGGTTCAGAAATATGTTGGTGGAAGAAAAATAAGACAATAAAATTTTAAAAGAAATGGATATTATGTTTTGGATCTACACACATTTGAAAATAATAGCATATGAACAAGAACGATTTTCATAGCTAGTCACTAACTTACCAGTTTGAGGAGTTTTCTTCTCTTCATCCACATTAGTCACATTTTTGGCTGTTTGCTCTTCTTGTGTTTTTACAAGAACAAACTTACCGTTTTCCAGCCATATAATTTTTGGCCTTTCTGCTTCTTTCTAACAAAAAAAAGGCAGAACAAAAACAAAAATAGCATTACAAAGCATGCAATTGCCCAGTGACCCACTCAGCATAATGGAAACAATCGCGGGAAAAAATTTATCAAATCACAGTGACTACTCTGGGAAAAGCTGAAAACAGAAAGCACATTCTGCTCTGCATGGAAGTAGATGCAGATACATGAACACAAATGAAAACAGTGAAATGTGTTTCATTTATTCTACAAATGAGGTACAAAGATACACATCCAAATCAAGTACAATCAGTTCTATCTGGGAAGCTCAGGAAAGGCCATTTCTTTTGAAAGGGAGAGAAAGCACACAGGAAGGCTGTCTAGGGAAGTCAAATTATCACATTTACATTTAAACCTCAACCAATACTTATTTCAAAAATAATTACAAGTGATAGGCAACACCTCCAAATTCAAGAATACCATTTCATTTAAAGAACAAATGAAATACCTCAGAATTCAAAAAGGGACACCAGAAACAAAAGGATGAGGCATGAAACAATGCAGCAAAAGAGGGCTGCCCAAGGAAGATGATACAACTAGAATAGTTTCCAGAAGGGCACAAACAGATAAAAAGGAGCAGCAAGGGGAACCACACAAGACTCATCTCAGGCTGGAATGGGAACTTTTCCTTTGTGAAAAGGGAATCTGCAGATTCTTGGCAGCAGTGTAAGATCAATGCCAGAGTTTAATGGGCAGCAGAACATAAAAGAATATAATGTCTACATGATGGGTGAGAAAATGAGTCTAGAAATGAAAAACAGTTCTCAGAATGTAAAGAGTAAGAAAGACTCGATAGTCATCAGAAGAGTGGCTGGGGCCAGGAATTCTCAGCTTCAGAGGTCTGGAGCCATCCAATATCATCGCGGAAAGGTCACAGTCAAGGCCTGCAGAAAGACATCAAGCTGGAGGCCTGGGACTGCAGACACATTGTAGGAGGAGGGGAGAAGATGACCTCACTCAGGAAATCATATCAGTTCAAAAGGTGAAGTATTTGTAGAATACAGCAAACTGAGGTAGTAATGCTAACTATGCTATCCATGGTTCTGAAATTCCTCAAATGAAATCAAGGAGATGCCATTTTTCAATGATATACACTAACTTTTTTTCAGGAAATGAGCATAAACTTTTATTGATATATGTAAATGCTGACTTCTGGGACACTACATAAATATGATTTTAAAATTTAATCATAAGATTTAACACTAAAATATCCATTGAAGATTTTGCCAAAGATTCCTGTTCAAAGAAAAATCTTCCAGGATTTAATGAAATGGAGGCCTGCTGATGTGCACCTGTGTCCTGTGCTAATAGGGCAGCTGAGGTACGATGGTTCCTGAAGCCAGGAGTTAGAAGCCCAACTGATAAGTATAACCAGGTCCATTCTCAAAAAGGGAAACATATTGTAAATTATAGAAGGGAAATGGTGATATATTTACAGAATAAGGTATTTTTGCATACTACTATAACATGAGGGAGAAATGTAAAACCTTATTTAAAAATTCCTATTCTCCCAATAAATGGCATATCCCAATACTTCTAATTTTCTATTTATACCATATGCAATGACAGTTACAAATGGAAGAAAGGTTGCATGCTATTTACCACTACCTGAGAACTGAAGCATTTATAGTAGAGAGAGAAGAAAACACAGTATGTTCCATGAGTTTTTCATTCAGAGAAACAACTGCTAATCAGGATTCTATAGAAAAATTACACTTTGAAAAGATGCACCTAGTAAACATGGAGCTGGCTAAAAGAAAAGATTAATAAATTTTAAGATGACATTCTAACCTATGTTCAGAGTTAAAGGATACTACAATGTACTGTGTGTATCATACCTATTCATTCCTCTGATTTGTTTCCTTATTTGACATAACATTAAACATAACCTGAAATTATATATCCTAAGCACAGTAAGGAAATATACACTTTAGGGCATATTTTTAGAAACTCAATGTACTTATTTATTACATAAATCATGCATACATTACTTGAAAAATTCTACTAGGTAGAAATCCATTCATTAACATTCAAATGGTATTAAAATGCCTCTTAATACAAAACACCGCACTGCAGGTCTTCAGAATTCACACAACATCTTTCTAATCTCCAGAAACTCACAGTACTGCGGGAGTTTTAAATGAATATTTGGAAGTACAAAAACTTCTGAAACTTGAAATGTCAGAATGAGATTTGGACACTTCAACTGTATATTTTAAAAACTATAATGCTTACAATTACTTAATCATTACCACTTGCTTTTTTAGACCATCTAGCTCTAGGACTGGTCATTATTTTGACCACAACAAGTATTCTTCAAAAAGATGAAAAATTTTAAAAATGTTATCCTCTTAATGGAGGAATCACTTAGAAAACAAGGTGCAGGCAGGTGTAGTAGCACATTCAACCCAGCACTGAAGGTGAAGCTAAAGATCCCAAATTCCAGTCCTGATTAAAAAACAAATTCAATTAATTAAAAAAAATGAGGACCAGGGGTAGACCTTCTTGCACAGGCCCTGTGATCAACTCCCAGGAACAAAAGAAATAAAATAGCAACAATGAAAATCCTGCACTTCTAAAGTTTGAAGACACAGATACAGATAACTTTGATGAAACATTTTAAATTTCTAAGCTGTCACAGTTTCCAATATTATTTTAGTCCAACAACAGAACCAATAAAGGCAACAGAAAAGCTCTCATAAAAACTGTATGACAGTAAAATAAAATATACTTAAAGGAAAAAATGTTTTATCTCTAAGTTGCTCAAATGAAGGCACCAAAGTTCCCTGATTATTGAAAGGACTAATAAGATCATAAAATATTTATATAGGTATGAGTGCTATGAAGATCTTGGTAGTAAGATTTTCAAGCCATGGCAAGGTCCACTTATCCAAATGATCCTTGACCAAATTTTGTATTTCCGCCATCATGGCAAAGGTTTGACAGACACAATTTTCCTGTCACTGTATGTTTTCTAACCCATTAGTTTTTTCAGTCACAAATACTTCAAAGTATGTACCAGTTATTTACCAAAGGGGTGGAAATTCTTTTTGACTAGGCATAGTTCTCTAAAATGAACTTCGCGGATCAATGTTCCATATAAATTCAGGGTAGCTACACCACTGTTAAATTTGAAGACTAAGTGCAATACAATGCAAAACTAAGAGGAAGAAAACTAACATTACGAAAGAGACTTACCTTGTTATCCAGAAGAAAGTCAGTGTCATCTGATTTAGGCCAGAAATTAACAAGACTGTGTTTGCTGGAAGAGCTGGGGAGCAAAAACACACAATAGCAGTGGGTGAGTTTCATTCTTTAAAAACTGGTGAAAGCTTGGCTATCTGTGTATCAAATGATGGTTCGTGGTTGACACAACTAAAATTTGACTTGTAGTTTTGAAATATTTTAGATGTTTCCTTCTGTCTTCACTTATTCCAATCTACAAAACACTCAGCATAGTCTCACTTTCACTCCCAAAGTGTGACAGCCAAGAGACCAGCACAGTCTAAAAGTCATTTCTCTTTACAAATTGCCTCCTCTGAAGGCTGACGTGAAAATGCAATCAATGGCCAACAAAAGTTGTTACCTGGACTCAAAAATGCCTGGTAACCTCAAGGTGAAAAGATTCACCGTCCCCTTTCCCTGGTCTGTCTCTGTTTCAATGACTAATCTGGTTGTGATGGTTTTGGTTTAAAGTGTCCCCTTTAGTGGGAAGGTGTTTGGACCATGGGGACCCTATACTCAGCATGCCCTCATCCATCTGCAAGTTCAGTAGCTCACTGTGCCCTTAGCAGGTTGGGTCTGCTCTGAGGCAGACCACTGGGTCCTGACCTGGATGGGTGAATTCTCACCCCTGGTTCTTCAGCCCTCTCACTGCTCCTGCCTGCAGGAGCTTTCCTCTACCTTGTCTCCCTGCTAAGGAATTTCTTCCTTGGAGCCTGAACTGAGTCAAAATAAATCTTTCCTCCTTTAAAACACTGGGGTTGAGCAATTTCCCCCATTAATGCAAAAGTTAGTGAAAGTCAGTATGATGCTAAGTAACTCTGGAATGGCAGTCTTTTTCTACTATCAAAGCCCCTTACAGTAAGACAACTCTGTTTCTTCCCTTTACCATAAAAACAGGACATTGAACTATAAAAATATCTGAAGGTTAAAAGTATGGAAATCAAAGAAAAAAATGTGTATGTGAGTTGATAAATCTCTTCCCAGGGAAATTAAACTATTAAAAATTATAAAATCCAATTATTTTTCCTGTATGGCTTTGCTTTTTTCACCTACACATAAATTGGTGAAACTTTCACAGACACACTGACATTCAAGCAGGATCTAGCTGGAAAATCAGCCCTGGTAGCTGCTCCTCTGTTATCCTAAGTCTAATCTAAAGTCCTTCTGAAAGGGCTCCTACTCCTGGGCTGCTCAATGGAGGGCTCCACAAGAGTCTTCACCTAAACTTTTCAGTCTATGAAGACATAGATTCCTGCAACAAGGATGAACTCAAGTAAGCAACAGTAGCTGTTCCTGAAAAGAAAGCTATTTGTGTCACAATCACCTACCCTCAGCAGAAGCAAGGTACTGATAATCAAATGGGCACGTCTGACTTCCAGGCCTACCTTCCATCTACAGGAAGCACATCAGCCAATGGAGTAAAGAGGTGGAGGTGAGAGACATCTGTCCTGGGTCACAGGCCCATGAAGTTCAGCAACTTATGGTTCCCAGTGGACTTTGGGGCCTGAGCCACCCTACATGAACTGAGAAGGAAGGTGGCCATGGGACATTCCTCCCTGCTCTAGAGACTTCCCAATGGCTCACATTACCCTAAGCAATCCAACACCAATCTTCAAGTTTCTCAGTTTCTCCAACTGAACAAAAGGGCAACAATCTTTTCAGGTATCTTTAAACCTTCACTTTTAATATGCCTTTTGAAACAATGCTCACTAATTTGGGCTTCAATTTCTGTATTATCTTTATTAAACTTGTGACAAACCTCAACTTTCTGATTTCTAATACCCAAGTCTTGCCCAATTCGACGCTGCTCTTCAAACTTGCCTTCCCTCATGAATTCTACTGTCATGCTCTCCCACTGGGCATGCTAGACCTGCTCCTCTCTTCTGCTATGGAAACTCTCACAGAAGGAGACATGAGGAAGTGTATTAGTCTCAGCAACGATAGAACCTGATTTCAATTTCATTTTTACCATGAACTATATTCAGATAAGTCACTTTAATATCATTGTGCTTCAAATTCTCTAGGATACAACCATGTGGCTAGAATGTTAAGCAGGTTGAGGCAATAGAAGGTATTTTTATTGGTCTCTTAGATTCCTTAGAACCTGAAAGTCTACTTATTTTTTACTCTGCTTAAGGAACAATAAGAAATACTAAGCAGCATAAGCACTTGCCTTGCAAGCATGCAGTCGTGAGATTTGATTTCTGGTACTAAAAAAAAAAAATACTAAGGCAGCAGAAATAAAAAAAAATACCAAGTAGAAGAAAAATTTTTTAAAAAGTCAAGAAAATATTTTACTTAAGAGGAAAAAAAATCATAGAACTAGGCAATAGTAATAGCCTGAAAGGAAAACCAAACTGGGAAATTGGTGAATAGACACATGCATTAAAAATGTCATTGCAATAAACCCTCAACATAAATAATATAAGATGATTTACATAAAGATAGTCTTAACTACCACATCTCCCCTAAGTTCTATAGTGGTAAAAACAAGAAACTGGCTATCAATTCAATCATTATCTTTAGAATAAACTCACCAACTTCTCAGGAAAACTAAGCAGACTTGACATGTCCCTTATGGTGACTTTCTACATTGATCTTAAATGACCTGCATTTGGATCCCAGCACTGCAGAGGGCAATGGAAGGCATCTGGGAGCCAGGCAGGCTAACAGTCAACACATGGGTCAGTTACTTCTTAATTATGAGACCATGGACCATTTAAATAACCCCCATTCATAACAGCAGCCAAATTAATAAAACTGGATTAAAACAGTACAGGTACTTTGTCTGGCCTGGAACAGAACACTAAAAAACATTATTTTCTTTTTCTGCACTCACTAATTAGTCACTGTATGATATTTAAAAACCTGTAAATTCTTACCTGGTTAGAGATTCATCTTCAGAAATAGCAGGTGCTATTAAAGAAAAAGGTAAAATATATTTTGAATTAACAAAAATATAAACTATTAAAGTATAACTCTGATGTTTTGACACAAAATAGTCTTTTGGGCTACATCTGTAGCCCATTCTACAATCAGTATTAATTATGCTATTGATATGCAATGCAATAAGAAATCTCACTTCCTATTTTTTATTTAAGAAATGCAGGGAAGAAGAGAATTTACCTACATTTGATAGCTAAATGAGCAATAGTGCTGTGCACAATCACATCCTACCTAAAGGTATTATATTGACAGAAATGGTACCATTAGCAGTATCGCTGGCATAAGCTGACATGGCAAACAAAGAGCATGACTTTCCTAGAGTAGTGGCACTAGGAACGATCATAAAAGATACACTTATTTTCTTAAGACACAAGGCAGCTGCTGTAGCATTCAGTTGGAACTGTAGAGTTTGAAGAGGAAATACTTTAGCTCAAGGAAGCTGTAAAGGGCATTCTAATTTGCAGCATGGCAAAATATGGGAAGCACACCTGAAACAAGCACCATTGCAATGATTTCCAGCTCTCAGTGGAGAAGAGCTCAGGAGAAGTCTGTGCACTTACTCTTGCTATTCCTCTCCTAGGGAAGATGCTAAGGAGCTCCCTTAGTTCTCCCTGGTTTCTCTGTCATATGTGTGATGGAAACAGGGCTCAAGTTCATCTGCTATCTTACTTCCCATGGAAAGAACCACTTCAGAGCTCAAGCCCTTACAAGCTGGTCCAGTCTGAAAAGCTTAAAAGCCAGCACCGGGGAGGTTGCAACCAGCTGCCAGGGAGCACTATCTTACATGGAATAATGAAAACATACAAATGAAACCACTAACTCACTGAGCCTCTCAGAATGTGACAAGTGAAAGACAAAATTTTACGTCATGTAAACTTTGGGAAAAAAACAAAACAACACAAAGAACCAAAAGCCTCTGATTTCCCGTGACAGAGAACCTATTCATACAAAGTCAGGGCTGGGGTTGGACTCAGTGGTAAACATGTGTGCACAGCACGCACAAGACCACTGAGTCCCTAGTACTGAAGGAGTGAGGACCAATAATAATAATGATAAAATCGGTCATGTTTTACTAACTTAACATGACTTGCACTCAAAGGAAGAGGAGCATTTTGACTCACCTATAGCTTTCATTACTCCCTCATCTTACTTCCCATCTCCAGGTAAGAATGAAAGCCCTGAGGCACTTTGAGAAGCACAGCACTCGCCAGTGTCTGCCTCCATTCTCAAAGGTTCTGTCTGGACCCAACAGAACAAGGTGGTGCAGTTCGTGCTCTGAAGTTCAGCATGATGTCACTTTTGGCAACCCTCCTCATGATGAGGAATCCACATAGAAAGCAGGCCAGCTCAGCATGTGGAGCACATGCCATCAGCGCATATTCATACAAGCATGAAAAACACAAAAACTAAGGCTGGAGGTATAGCTCCATGGTAAATCATTGACCTGGAATGGCCAAAGCACTGGCTTCGGTCCCTAGCAACATCCCCAATAAGAGGAAGAAAGGCAGTTCAAGTAACAGCTTTATTGGCTACATTCAGTTAGCTTGAACAGTTATTGCTTTTAATCTTCAAAAATTATCCACTGTATCATTTCAATGAAGGAGCAGATCTGCTAAAATGATCACTGCCAGGAAAATGAAAAGTTCAGTGGTTGCAGTATTGGTGGGGTGGTGCAGGGCCAGGGAGGCAATGAACAAATAGCACAAAGGAGCTGTCTGAGGCATGACACTGCTAAAGGAAACACACAACAAATTCCAATCCACCATCACATGAAGAATGCTAACAGTGAAACTTAGTGTTAAATGCAGACTTTGGATGGGAACCAAGGACCAGTGTAAGTCATCGTCTATAACAAGTGTACTACTCTAGAGGACAGCACTGGCCATGGAGGGAGGCAACTCGTGTGAGAGGCACACAGTCTACTGGAAATCTCTGGAGCTTTCTTTCAATTTTGCTGTGAACTTAAGCCTGATATTTTAAAATGTTCATAGTGCAAAGGGTACAGTTCAGTGGAGGGGCACTTGCCTTGCATGAATGGAGTCCGAGGTCTACCAATCACTGCAAAAAAGAACGCATAGAAAATAAAAGAGAAGAAACAAAGCTATTCATTAAAGATAGTTACTAAACCCAGTACTGCAGAAGAAACGGAAAGTCAGTATACCGCTGGAGATAATTACAAGATCAAAGTAGCACAGACTAGATATCATCTCCTAAACTAAAGAATAGGAAAATACGGAGAACAACATAAGTTACAAACTTGGGTGGGAAAATAATGTATAAGTGACTTAAAATTTTATTTTTAGTCACAAAAATCACTTCTCAGTGATAAGGTCATGTAGTAATATGTTATTTACTAAGTCTAATGCATTTATTGACATATTAAAACTTTATTATATGTTATTACACAGACAGTAAACATAGTGCTTTAAAACTCTTTTCATGTATAGGATTTCAGAAGTAAAAATTAATAAATGGAGTATTTTGAAATAAAAATTTTCCTATACTTAATTTCTTAAATACTTCTGAATTCAGCAGTATTAAGAAAAAAACAAGAACAAATATAAATGCAGCAGTAAATATACTACACATTTGAATAGACCCATCAGATGGAGAACGCCAACAGTTTGCCCTAATGTTAACTGCCAACGTTAGATGATAACGTAACAAAGGACCACTGTAAGTCATCATCTGTAACAAGGGTACTCCTCTAGGGGCGGGCACTGGCCATGGAGGGAAGCAAAACACTTTGTGTGAGAGGGACATGATCAATCAAAGCCCTCTGGATCCTCCTTTCAACTTTGCTGTGAACCTAAGCCAGACATAAAAAACAAAGTTCTTAGTGAAAAGGGTGCAGCTCTGTGGTAGAGCACTTGCCTGACTTGAGTGGAGTCTCGGGTTGAGTGGCAACCACTGCAAAAAGGAAGACAATGAAACAGAAAAAAAAGAGAATAAACAAAGAAACAAAGAAAAAGGTATTATTTAAAGAAAGTTAATGAATCTACTAATACCATGATACAGAAATTTAGTATACAATTGGAGATAATTCAAAAACTCAGTAACAGTGTATAGATATCACCTCCTAAACCAGAGTAGGACATTATACAGAACAATACAAATTACATACTTTAGTGGGAAGATAATAATTGTTAAGTGACTTCAAATTTTATTTTTAGTCACAAAAATCACTTTTCAGTAATACAACCATGTAGTAATATTCTTTTACTAAGTCTAACACATTTACTTAAAAAATTAAAAGTTTACTCTAATGTTAGTACACACAAAGTAACCATACTAATTTAAAACTATTTTTCATGTATAGGATTTCAGAAGTAGAAATTAAAGAAGTGTAACATTTGGATTAAAAATTTCCTATAATCATCTCCTAAATTCTTCTGAATATGGAGTATTAACAAACAATTAAGAACAAACATAAATGCAACAGTAAATACCCTACACATTTGTTAGACCCATCAGATGGAGAACACTAACAGTGAACCCTAACATTAACCGCAGATTCAGATTTTAAGGATAAGGGTAGACTCATGGTAAGTCATCATCTATCACAAGTGTACTACTCTAGGGGAGAGCACTGGCCATGGAAGGAGGCAACTTATGTGTGAGAGGCACATGATCAACTGCAAATCTCTGGAGCTTCCTTTCAATTTTGCAGTGAACTTAAACCTGATATAAAAAAGCAAACTTCGTAGTGTAAAGGATACACCTCAGTGATAGCGCACTTGCCTGGCCTGAATGGAGCCACAAGAAAAGGTTGAGGCTCTGCAAAAGGGAAGACAAAAGAAAACAACACAGGAAAAAGCTGTTAATTAAATGTAGTTACCGAAACTACTACTACCATGTTACAGAAACTCAGTATATACCTGGAGATAATTACAAGATCAAAGTAGCACAGAATAGGTATCATCTCCTAATCCAAAGAATAGGAAAATATATAGAACAATATAAGTCACATACCTAGGCAAGAAAATAATTGATAGGTGACTTAACATTTTATTTTTATTTACAACAATCACTTCTTAGTGATACAATCATGTAGTAAAATGGTTTTACTAGGTCTAATGCATTTATTAAAATATTAAAACTTCACTATAATGTTAGTGCACAGATACTGGACATACTGATTTAAAATACTTTATCATGTACAAGATTACAAAATTGAAAATTAAATAAAAGGAATATTTTAAATCATAATTTCCTATACTTCATGTCTTAAATATTTATGAATTCTGGAATTTAACACAAAATTAAGAACAAATATAAATGCAACAGCAAATACACTACACATTTGAATAGACCCATCAGATGGAGAACACTAACAGTGAAACTAATATTAACTGCAGATTTGGATTATAATAATGGACCGGTTTAAGTCACTCTCCATAACAAGTGTTCTAGTCTAAGGGAGGGCACTGGCCATAGAGGGAGGCAACTTATGTGTGAGAGGTACATGATCAACTGCAAATCTCTGGATCTTCCTTTCAATTTTGCTGTGAACTTAAGCCTGAAATTTAAAAAAACAGTTTATAGTGCAAAGGGTACAACTCCATGGTACAGCACTTGCCGGATACGAATGGAATCTCAGGTTTTTTGGCAACCACTGCAAAAAAGAAAAGAATGGAACCGAAAAGAAAACAGAAGAGAAGAAACAAAGAAGAAAAGCTATTAATTAAAGACAGGTACTGAAACTATTACCATGTTATAGAAACTCAATGTACAATAGGAGGTAATTCCAAGATCAAAGTAGCACACTATTACTATCATCTCCTAAACCAAAGAGTGGAATATTATACAAAGCCATATAAATTAAATACTTAAGTGGGAAAATAATTCATAAGAGGGGCAACATTTTAAGTCAAACACATTTGTTTAAAATGTTAAAAGTTTAATCTTAATTCACACAAAGTAGCCATAGTGATTTAAAACATTTTCATGTACAGGAATTCAAGGAAAATTAAATGAATGAAGTATTTTAGGTTATAAATTTCCTATAATTCATTTCCTAAATTCTTCTAAATATGGAGTATTAACAAAAAATTAAACACAAATATAAATTGAACTGTAAATACACTTCACATTACAATAGAACCATGAGAAGGGGAACACAAACAGTGAATCCTAACACTGACTGCAGACTTCGCTTGGTAATGATGGGCCAGTGTAAGTCATTGTCTACACTAAGTGTACTACTTTAGAGGAGGGCACTGCCTGTGGAGGGAGGCAACTCATGTGTGAGAGGCACACAGTCTACTGGAAATCTCTGGATCTTCCTTTCAATTTTGCCGTGAACTTAATCCTGATGTTTATAAATGTTCATAGTGCAAAGGGTACAGTTCAGTGGAGGGGCACTTGCCTTGCGTGAGTGGAGTGCCAGGTCTACCAATCCCTGGAAAAGAGAACACATAAAAAATAAAAGAGAAGAAACACAGCTGTTAATTAAAGATAGTTACTGAACCCACTACTGCAGAAGATACAGAAACTCAGTATACCCCTGGAGATAATTACAAGATCAAAGTAGCACAGACTAGATATCATCTCCTAAACTGAAGAATAGGAAAATATGGAGAACAACGTAAGTTAAAATCTTGGGAGGGAAAATAATGTATAAGTGACTTAACATTTTATTTTTAGTCACAAAAAACTCTTCTCAGTGATACAATCATACAGTAATATGGTTTTTACTAAGTCTAATGCATTTATTAACATATTAAACCTTCACTATATGTTATTACACAGACACTAAACATAGTGATTTAAAACTCTTTTCATGTATAGGATTTCAGAAGTAAAAATTAATAAATGGAGTGTTTTGGAATAAAATTTTCCTACAGTTAATTTCTTAAATACTTCTGAATCCTGCGGTATTAAGAAAAAAACAAGAACAAATATAAATGCAGCAGTAAATATACTACACATTTGAGTAGACCCATCAGATCTAGAACACCAACAGTTTGCCCTAATGTTAACTGCCAACGTTAGATGATAACGTAACAAAGGACCACTGTAAGTCATCATCTGTAACAAGGGTACTCCTCTAGGGGCGGGCACTGGCCATGGAGGGAAGCAAAACACTTTGTGTGAGAGGGACATGATCAATCAAAGCCCTCTGGATCTTTCTTTCAACTTTGCTGTGAACCTAAGCCAGACATAAAAAACAAAGTTCTTAGTGAAAAGGGTGCAGCTCTGTGGTAGAGCACTTGCCTGACTTGAGTGGAGTCTCGGGTTGAGTGGCAACCACTGCAAAAAGGAAGACAATGAAACAGAAAAAAAAAAGAGAATAAACAAAGAAACAAAGAAAAAGGTATTATTTAAAGAAAGTTAATGAATCTACTAATACCATGATACAGAAATTTAGTATACAATTGGAGATAATTGAAAAACACAGTAACATTGTATAGATATCACCTCCTAAACCAGAGTAGGACATTATACAGAACAATACAAATTACATACTTTAGTGGGAAGATAATAATTTTTAAGTGACTTCAAATTTTATTTTTAGTCACAAAAATCACTTTTCAGTAATACAACCATGTAGTAATATTCTTTTACTAAGTCTAACACATTTACTTAAAAAATTAAAAGTTTACTCTAATGTTAGTACACACAAAGTAACCATACTAATTTAAAACTATTTTTCATGTATAGGATTTCAGAAGTAGAAATTAAAGAAGTGTAACATTTGGATTATAAATTTCCTATAATTCATCTCCTAAATACTTCTGAATATGGAGTATTAACAAAAAATTAAGAACTAACAAAAACGCAACAGTAAATACCCTACACATTTGAATAGACCCATCAGATGGAGAACACTAACAGTGAACCCTAACATTAACTGCAGATTCAGATTTTAAGGATAAGGGTAGACTCGTGGTAACTCATCGTCTATCACAAGTGTACTACTCTAGGGGAGAGCACTGGCCATGGAAGGAGGCAACTTATGTGTGAGAGACACATGATCAACTGCAAATCTCTGGAGCTTCCTTTCAATTTTGCAGTGAACTTAAACCTGATATAAAAAAGCAAACTTCTTAGTGTAAAGGATACACCTCAGTGATAGCGCACTTGCCTGGCCTGAATGGAGCCACAGGAAAAGGTTGAGGCTCTGCAAAAGGGAAGACAAAAGAAAACAACACAGGAAAAAGCTGTTAATTAAATGTAGTTACCGAAACTACTACTACCATGTTACAGAAACTCAGTATATACCTGGAGATAATTACAAGATCAAAGTAGCACAGAATAGGTATCATCTCCTAAACCAAAGAATAGGAAAATATATAGAACAATATAAGTCACATACTTAGGCAAGAAAATAATTGATAGGTGACTTAACATTTTATTTTTATTCACAACAATCACTTCTTAGTGATACAATCATGTAGTAAAATGGTTTTACTAGGTCTAATGCATTTATTAAAATATTAAAACTTCACTATAATGTTAGTGCACAGATACTAGACCGACTGATTTAAAACACCTTTTCATGTACAGGATTACAGAAGTTAAAATTCAATAAAAGGCATATTTTGAATTATAATTTCCTACACTTCATGTCTTAAATACTTATGAATTGTGGAATTTAACACAAAATTAAGAACAAATATAAATGCAACAGCAAATACACTACACATTTGAATAGATCCATCAGATGGAGAACACTAACAGTGAACCTTAGTGTTAATTGCAGACTTTGGATGGCAACGATGGACCAGGGTAAGTCATTATCAATAAGGAGTGTACTACTCGAAGGGAGCACACTGCCTGTGAAGGGAGGGAACCCATCTTTGAGAGGCACATGATCACCCGAAATGTCTGGATCTTCCTCTCAACTTTTCTTTGAACTTAATCCTAATTTAAAAAACAAAGTTCTTAGTGCAAAGGACACAGCTAAGTTGTAGAGAACTTGCCTGGCAAGGATGGAGTCCCAGGTAAGGTTATATCTGCAAAAATGAAAAGTAAAAACATTAAGAAAGAAAGAAAGAAAATAAGAAAGAAAGAAAGAAAGAAAGAAAGACAGAAAGAAAGAAAGATAGAAAGAAAGAAAGACAGAGAGAGAAAAAGAGAGAAAGAAAGACAAAAAACTATTAATTACAGGTAGTTACTGAATCCACTACTACCATGTTACAGAAACTCAGTATACAATTAGAGATGATTCCAAAATCAAACTAGCACAGTATAGGTAACGTCTCATAAATGAGTAGGAAAATATGGAGAACAATATAAGTTATAAACTTGGGTGAAAAAATAACTGAGAAGTGACTTAACACTTTTTTTAGTAACAAAAATCACTTCTGATACAACTGTGTAATAATACGCTTTCACAAAGATTAATGCATTTATTAATATATTAACACTTTGCTAAAATATTAGTACATAGAAAGTAGCCATACGAATTTGTAACTCTTTTTCATGTTTAGGATTTCAGAAGTAAAACTTAAATAAATGGAGTATTTCAGATAAAAATTTTCTATACTGCATTTCTTAAATACTTCTGAATTTTGCAGTATTAAAAAATTAAGAACAAACATAAGTTCAACACTAAATGCACTACACAGCTGAGTAGACCCATCAGATGGAGAACACTAACAGTGAAACTAATATTACCTGCAGATTTGGATTATAATAATGGACCGGTTTAAGTCACTGTCTATAACAAGTGTTCTAGTCTAAGAGATGGCACTGGCCATAGAGGGAGGCAACTTATGCGTGAGAGGTACATGATCAACTGCAAATCTCTGGATCTTCCTTTCAATTTTGCTGTGAACTTAAGCCTAAAATTAAAAAAAAAAACAGTTTATAGTGCAAAGGGTACAACTCCATGGTACAGCACTTGCCTGGTACGAATGGAATCTCGGGTTTTTTGGCAACCACTGCAAAAAAGAAAAGAATGGAACCGAAAAGAAAACAGAAGAGAAGAAACAAAGAAGAAAAGCTATTAATTAAAGACAGGTACTGAAACTATTACCATGTTATAGAAACTCAATGTACAATAGGAGGTAATTCCAAGATCAAAGTAGCACACTATTAGTATCAGAAAATATCCAGTATCCAGAAAATATCCAGGAATATTATACAAAGCCATATAAATTAAATACTTAAGTGGGAAAATAATTCATAAGAGTGACAACATTTTAATTTTAGTCACAAAAATCACTTTTCAGTAATACACTCTTGTAGTAATATTCTTTTACTAAGTCAAACATATTTATTCAAAATATTAGAAGTTTAATCGTAATTCACACAAAGTAGCCATAGTGATTTAAAACTTTTTCATGTATACGAATTCAAGCAAAATTAAATGAATGAAGTATTTTAGGTTATAAATTTCCTATAATTCATTTCCTAAATTCTTCTAAATATGGAATATTAACAAAAAATTAAACACAAATATAAATTGAACTGCAAATATACACTTCACCTTACAGTACACCCATGAGATGGGGAACACTAACAGTGAATCCTAACACTGACTGCCGACTTTGCTTGGTAATGATGGGCCAGTGTAAGTCATTGTCTACACCAAGTGTACTACTTTAGCGGAGGGCACTGGCCGTGGAGGGAGGCAACCCATGTGCAAGTGGCACGTGATCTAACAAAAATCTCTGGATCTTGCTTTCAATTTTGCTGCAAAATTAAACCTGATTTAAAAAAAAATCTTAGTGCAAAGGGTACAGCTCACTGATAGAGCACTTACCTGGCATGGATGGAGCCTCAATTTTAATTGCAACCACTGCAAAAAAGAAGACAAAAGAAAAGAAAAGCATACAGGAGAAAAGAAAGAAACATAGGTTAAAAGCTATTAAATGAAAATAGTTACTAAATCTACTAGTATCATGTTACAGAAGCTCAGTATACAAATTCACATAATTCCAAGATCAAAGCACCACAGTATAGGTACAATCTCCTAAAGCAAAGAACGGGAAAATATCCAGAAAAATATAAATTATACAACTAAGTGAAAATAATTGAGAAAAGTGACTTAACATATTAGTTCTAGTCAAAAATTCACTTTTTAGTGATATAACCATATTATAATTTTCTTTCACTAAGTCTAACACATTTACTTAAAAAATTAAAACTTTAATGTTAGTGTGTATAAATCAGCCATACTGATTTAGAACTCTTTTTCATGTATGGGATTTCTGAAGTAAAAATTAAATAAATGGAGTATTTAGATCATTAATTTCCTATACTGAATTTCTTAAATACTTCTGAATTCTGCAGTGTTAAGAAAAAAATGAAGAGTAAACATAGATGCAACAATAAATATGTTACACATTTCAAAACAGCCATCTGATAGAGAACACTAAAAGTGATACTTTGAATGGTAACGATGGACCCCTGTAAATCATAGTCTATAACAAGCATTCTAATGTAGTGGAGGCCTCTGGCCCCTGAGGAAAGCAACCCATGTGTGAGAGGCACATAATAAACCAGAAATTTTTGGATATCCTCTTAATTTTGCTGTGAACTAAAACCTGATATAAAAAACAAACTTCTTGGAGCAAAAGATACACCTGAGTGGAGGGGTACTTGCCTGGTGTTAAAAAAGTCTCAGATTCACTTGCAACCACTACAAATAAGAGAACAGAAGAGATAAAGAAAAGAAACAAAGAGAAAACACTATTAATTGAACATAGTTACTGAATCTACCATTACCATGTTACAGAAACTCGGTATACAATTGGAGATAATTCCAAGATCAAAGTAGCAGTGATAGATATTATCTCCTGAACTGAGGAGTAACAAATTATACAGATCCATATAAATGACATACTTAGGATGGAAAATAACTGATAAAAGTGACTTAGCATGCTATTTTTAGTCACAAAAATCACTTTTCAGTAATAAAATCATGGAGTAATATTCCTTTACTAAGTCTAATCCATTACTTAAAATATTAAAAGTTTACTCTAATGTTAGTGCACAGAAAGTAGCCACACTGGTTTAAAATTCTTTTTTGTGTTTAGAATTTTAGAAGTAAAAATTAAATAAATGGAATGTTTTAGATTAGGTCTTTCTTGTAATTCATTTCTTAAATAATTCTGAGTTCTGAATTATTAAAAAAATTAAGGAAATATAAATTTAATTGACACAGTGAATGTTTTAACTCCTCTGTGTTCAAAGTTTTTTCTTACTCTTTTCCTTTTTTGTTGTTTTTGTCTTTTGTTTTTTGTTCTTTGAGACAGGGTCTCACTATGTAGTGCAGGATTGCCTTCAACACAAGAAGGTACTCCTGCCTCAGCCTCGCCAGTGCTGGGGTTACAGGTTTGTGCCTTCACACTCATCCTTTTGTCTTTGAAAATCAAGACAGGGCCACCAAGTGTAATTCACTATGAGAAGTCTTACCTGCAGGGCTATTGTCAGAATTTGAAGATTCCTTTTTTTCACATTGAGAATTTTTTCTATGCAAAAAAAGTGATTTAAAATTGATATAAAACATATTAAATTACTAAGCGTATTTCAGACAATGTCAGATCTAATATGAAAACTTTACTCCAATACTTTAAATCTGTCATGTCTACAAAACTTTATTACACCTGTAATTAAGGAAGAAAAAACAGTAAGTAAAGTGAGGCAGGCATCAATCAAGAAAGGCAAGACAGCTCCAAGCATTAGCTGGATTAGCACAATTTAAGAGAAACTGTCTTGAAATCACAAGCTCCGGCTCGAAAACCAACAGCTGTTTCTTTTTGCATAAGTCATTTCCCTTAGACTCAAAGTCTTATAAACTGTAAGGACTTGGCTAATTTAGTTTACCAGAATCCCATGAAGGTTTGATGAGGTAACATAGAAACCTGCTCTCAGAAATAATAAAGTAAGGGGTGAGTAGTTCCTAAATGCTCACCTAATTTGGAATTCCAACTACAACCCAACGTGTGTATTTTCAGATTGTAGTATTCAAGTGCTGTAGTTACCAGAAAATAATGGGTCTTAATTTGGACTATGAGCTCTTCTCTTCTCTGTGGTTTGTAATTCATGGCATATCAACTTTTAAATAATTTATAACTAAGTCTATTTATAAATATCTCATTAAATTGGACAATACATTTGTCTTCTACTACTGAACTAGTTATGCCAATGGCAGAAAAGTAACAGATATCAAGACCTGGAATAAAACTTCAAGCAGAACACATAAACTGTATCAGACAAACATGACCGGACAGGGAAAATCAAATAAGAATTAATACAATTGTGATGGAGCTGTTTAATTCCCCATTGTCACAAAGACATAAACCAAGTAGACAAAAATCAGCAAACAAATATCAGAACTGAATAAAACCTGTGAACAAGTGGACTTGGTAAGTGTTTACAACATTCCACCGAACAACATTAGGATACATGTTCTTCTCAGCTGCAAATGGGACATTCTCTAGACCATATACTGGCCCACAGAATATGCTTAAGTAAGTACTAAGGAACTGAACTTATCCCAGGCATATTTCCTGATGACATCCCAGTGAAACTGGAAATTAACACCAAAAGAAACCGCAAAAATTCCATAAACACATGGAAATAAATAACATACTCTTGAACAACCAATGGGTCACAGATGAAATTAAAAAAGAAATTAAACAATGTCTACAATTAAATGAAAATGCAGATACAACTTCCTGAAACCTTTGGAATGCAATGAAAGTAGTCCTATGGGAAATTTGTAATAGTGAAGTCTCACACCAGAAAAACAGAAAGAGCAAAAACTGGGACTTCCAGGAGAACATAGCGGACAGATAACAGCAGCTATGGAGGCTGCTTCTAAGACTTGGCTCAGAAGTCAGGAATGGTGTGGAGTAAGGAGAAATAAACCAGTGGAGATATGCTCTACTGACCCAGGAACGAACTGGGCTGAGAGAAACCAACTTGGAATGCAGTCCTGGTGCTAGAACAGGAACAGAAAAGCCTCAGCCTGGAGGCTGGACCCCGCGCCATTGGAAGCCGCGATTTGGGTTTTCCACCATGCAGTGACTGCATCTGCATCGGCTCGGCAGGGAGAGAGATGTGCAGAAGTTCTGAGAACGGGAATTGGTGAACGGAGTTGAAAACAGGATGGACGGGAGCCATGCACTGACTTGTGGTGAGGTGAGTAAGAGAAACTGACACTCTACCACAGTTTGACTCCAGTGGAAAGCATTCTGGGACTGGGCAGATTTGCGGGAGCAGGGCGCTGTGGCGACTTCAGCCACATATGCCCCTCTCAGGCGGGATTGGTGAGAAGTGCCTAGCCTATGTGACGCTGCTGGCCGAGACCCAGTAGGCTAGCACAACCCAGATCCCAGAGCCTGAGGGTGGCCTGGAGGGGTGGGCCCCGTGTAGGCTGCCTGGTCTGCAACTTCCTGGTGTGCTGTGGCGGGTGGGAACACCTAGCCGGCGCAATTCGATCAGGTTGTGGCTGATAGGGGGGGAAGCTGGGCCTCCTATATAAGCTTGCATATATAAGGAACAAAGAATATGGGAAGAGGGAGCCCCTAATCCTGAGAAACAGGCAAGAGCGGACACCGCACCAATAGACATAAAGCGCCATCTAGAGAGCCTCATAGATCAGTTCAGGAATGAAGTTATTAATGACCTGAAGCTAGAAGTAAGCAGAATAGTTAGAGAAATGCTAAGCACCACCCAAGAAAAAACGGATGGTGGAATGCAAGAACAGAAAAAGAGGGGAGAATTGTTTGATGGAGAAAATAGAGAAAGCATAGAATACGTGAAGCAGGTTCAAAGGGACTACCAGGAAACTAAAAAGTCTATCGAAAACTGGCATAACAGCTTGAAAGAAACTAAGGACAGACTATCTGAACTGGAGGGCAGATTTGTAATATGGGAGAATGAAATGAAAAACTTCTTAAAAGTAACAAAGAAACAAACAGCAATAATACAAAGACTAGAAGATGATAAGATGATCCATAACTTAAGAATTAAGAACATAAAAGAAGAAGTAGGGACACAAACAAATGAACTACAAAAGCTACTCACAGAAATAATCCAGGAGAATTTTCCTAATTTAGCAAAAGGTAAAGATACTCAGATGTACAGGACCCCAGCCACCTACAACCCAAACAGAACAACACCCAGGCATATAATAATAAAAATTCCAGAAATTCAATACAAGAACAGAATATTAAAAACTGTCAGAGACAAGAAACAGACCACTTACAAGGGAACACCCATCAGAATTACAGCAGATTTCTCTGTATAAACCATCAAGTCACGAAGAGCGTGGGGGGAAATAATTGAAGCTTTGAAAGATAATAATCTTCAGCCAAGATTGAGATATCCTGCACAACTGTCCCTGGAAATTGATGGAAAAACAAGGTGCTTCCAGGATAAAGAGGAACTGGGGGAAATTGCAACCACCAATTCAACTCTACAGAGAATACTGCAAGATATTCTAAAAAAGAAAAATACAAAAAATCCAGAAGTAGCGGCAGAGAGGCCACAATGAATGGAGCAGAAAACAAAATGAAGAAGACAAACTGACAACTAATGACAGAAAAAGAACTCAACAGAAATGAGGCAGAGAAGATTGGATGATAGGAACAGCTATTTTGGAGAAAATGATGTCTTAATAGGTAATACTGATTTAGTATCATCTTGTTTTGAAGTCTCATCAAGCTTTTGTTCTTCTGTCTCCATTGGTCTAAACAGGTTGGATCTTGTTGGATTTTATTATGTACGATAGTATAAGTAAAAACTTTTAAAGACAAGGAGATTATACAGAAACCATTGTTCATTTTCTGTTAGTTGATTCTAAATACCCTGTAATGCTGTCATTCTCTTAAATGGTTTTACATTGTTTTGATATATTTAATGCTACAGTATACGAAGTTGTACTCAAGGATTTCAAGGAAAGAGACAATATGGTAACTACTTTTATGTCAGGATTATCTGGTGGTGAAACAATATTCTGCTTAAATGGTTATGTTTTGATCTGTGCTGTTTTGCTGTTATGCCCTCTTTTATCTCAATCTCCACTCCATTATTTACTTTTTAATTTTTATCCTTTTAATTAAGGAAAACATAAATAAAAATAGCAGGATATATTATAGTAACCCACTTTGACTTTCCATTATCTTGATTTAAAGCCCTGTATTACTCTCACCATCTTGTTTTTGACTGATGTCCCCCTATTGTGTTTTGCTGGATAGTACCAGGTTCGAAAGTTTAGGCAACAGCTGTGAAGATAGTGAGATTCATTATGACGCCCATTCTCGATGATTTTTATCTACTTTTGAAGACCTACAATGTCTCCAATGTTTTGGTTTTGTCGGTTTTATTCCTTACTGTTTTGTTCAATTTTATTATAACTGATGATATAGGCAATTCTATTAGAGATAGCGGGAGGCATTATGGTAACCATTGTTGATCACCTTGTATTATGTTTTTACATTATCTATTATGTCCACCCTTTTGATTTGACCGACTCTGCTCTGTTATGTCACATTTGGTTTCACTCTCTTCCAAAAAAGTAATGAGATCCATGGGAGCAATAAAACCCAAAATGTGTAATAGTCATTGTACAAAAGAGAGGAAAAGAAAGTGCTCTGAATAATATAACTGCATGTATATTTAAGTGTATAAGATAGAAAATGATATCACTGAGTTTTATTGGATCATTGAACAGAACTGTTTGCAGTATCATTGTTGGAATGTCCACTTTACAAGCTTTAATTTTGTCACTTGAACAATTATCTCTAAGATGACAATATGTAATCCATTAACTAGTGATGTCCTACTGTTTATTTTTTTTCTGTAAATCTGTATAACTTATACCCTTTCTCTTTTTTTTTCTCCTTAAATAAAATTTAAAAGAAAAAAAAAGAAAGAGCAAAAACTGTATGTTGCATCTCAAGTTTATAGGTAAAGAGGCGGAAGGCAAGACTAAAACCCATATAAAGGAGGAAGTTATAAAGATCAGAGCAGAAATTAATGCAACTGACACTAAGAAGATAATACGGAGAACTAATGAAGTGAAGAGTTAGTTCTTTTAAAGACCTGGAATGGACTAATATTCTTCCTCTACACAACAAAACTCTGAGTGTGATTCTAACAAAGATTGGCTGGTTCAATTTCTGTCTGTCTCCAACTGACATGGAAGGCAAAACCCTCTTGTGTGCAGGACATATTGCATCATGCTGGGGCTTAGTTTTCTTTACTATGAATTCAGAGAGTTTCATTTAATTGCTTCTGTATGAGACAAAAATCTGTAAATATTCTAGAGTCCTGATTCCAAGACAAAAATAGATTTTCAGTAGTAAACAATTTCAGAGGCCAAACAGAAGTTGCTGCCAATTTAAGGCTTAATTCGGGACCTTTTACAACTTATGTAATGGTGCTACTTGGTATAAAGAGACTTCTCGGTAAAGACCTGGTGACAAAGAAAAAACAAACATTGATCTCTTTTGGAAACATT